TAACAGATGGCCCAAATGATCGTCCTCATCACAGCAACAAAGAGCGCAGAGCATTTAGGAACATGAGGCGTCATGTTACCATACACTCTTATTGTTATTCTTATGTTGTTGAGAATCTATGCTGTTTGGGATCACTGTCCTGCTGCTTTAACTGCTGGACAGATGGCCTCAATTGGACTCCAGAACACTTTGGTCTACAGAGGAGTTCATGGTCTACTCAATGACAGCAAGGTGTGCAGGTCTTGTTGCAACAAAACACCCAAATCCTCAGCTGTGCTTTAAGGCCCCGTCACACTAGACAATTTATGCCAACTTATGAAACATTTTTATGTCTAAATTGCTAATAAAAGTTATATATTTGATCAATTAGTTCAAATAACATTATGTACACGCCAAAAAGAAGCTTCCTGTTGATTTTTTTCTATTCCATCTTCAACATAGACGTCTTTAAAGTGTTGGTAAGTTGGGATAAGTTTGTCTAGTGTGACAGGGCCTTAAAGCACGGTGATGGAGGGCTGAGGATTTGGGTGTTTTGTTGCAACAAGACCTGCACACCTTGCTGTCATTGAGTAGACCATGAACTCCTCTGTAGACCAAAGTGTTCTGGAGTCCAATTGAGGCCATCTGTCCAGCAGTTAAAGCAGCAGGACAGTGATCCCAAACAGCATWGATTCTCAACAACATAAGAAAAACAATAAGAATGTTGATGACACCTCATGTTCCTAAATGCTCTGCGCTCTTTGTTGCTGTGATGAGGACGATCATTTGGGCCATCTGTTATGTGTAAYGTAAATCACCGTAGAGCTTCTCTCTGATGCACTTCTTTGTACCTTTAAGGAGTCTCAAGAATCCTCAGTCACGAAGGAGGCGTCACGGACATTGACGTTCTGCAAGTACGCCATCAGACGTCCTCACCGTGATCCTCACAGAAACCCGGTTCCCTGTCCCGCTGAGCTTTTTGCTTCCGTCTGTCCCCGCAGGCGGCTTTGCTTCACGACACAGTGGAGGACACAGACACCACCGCCGAAGAGCTCAGGGAGCACTTTGGGGTGACGGTGGCCGGTATCGTCCAGGAGGTGACGGATGACAAAAGCTTGCCGAAGCTGGAGAGGAAGCGTCGGCAGGTGGAGCACGCACCTCACTGCAGCCCACAGGCCAAGCTGGTGAAACTGGCAGATAAGTTGTATAACCTCAGGGACCTGAATCACTGCACACCTGTAGGTCAGCACCTCTCTCTTCTGTCACACAAAACGTTTTCTGAAAATTCTGATCTAAAAGGAGTTGTTTRTTGGTTTTGCAAGACATTAGTTTTAGAAAAAAAAAACTATATAGGGTGTGTTTTTGCAATTGAAGAAAAGCTGTAAATAATATCTTTAGTTCCTTTTTGTGTGTGTGGCAGGTTGGTCAGCTGAGCGGATCCAGGAGTATTTTATTTGGGCTTCTGAGGTGGTGAAAGGCCTGAAAGGAACTAACTCAGCTCTGGAGGAGAAGCTTGAGAACTTATTCAAAGAGAGAGGGATTCAGCTCTGACAGCACCCCACTGGAAAACAAGAAACACATCTACTGTATTCTAATGTGCTTAAATGTTTCTCCATTTTTTTTCTGCAAAATATCTGTAGTTGATTATGTAATTATACATTCATATATGCAAACAGATGAACAATTAAAGAGGTAAAAACAACAGGAAGTGTCTTACTTGGATTAACACATGGAATCACATAAACTTTAATACAAATTAGGACAAATTATAAACTGTGGAGTTTTGACTTGATAAAGCTCCTCAGACATCTTCATAGGAAAGAAGATAATAGCATAACATCTGGATTAACACTGTTAAACATATTTTCCACTGGACCAAGAAAAAATGTTGATAACAACATTAGTTCACCATAATTTGTTTCTCTGGGTTTCTAACTTTTCTTTAATTTGTTAATTTTAGCTAGAAAACAGGATGTGCTGGAGGAATTATCAGGTAACGGATGAGATAACGCTTCGTTRATTTTGAAGCAACATTATTATTTAATGTTTTGCTTTGATAAAATAAAAACAAATGGAAGTTTTCCCATTTGTATTTTTAACAAGCATTGGAAGGTCTAGATGGGAATATTTTTGACCCACCATGTACAGATAACTTGGGAGCCACTAGGGGGCAGTAATTTGTAGTAAGTTCACATTTTTCTAACTTTATGGATTTATTTTTCTATTCATTACATAAAATTACATTTAAAAACTATAACATTACTGTATCRTATTGTGAAAGCATAATTACAAATAATTGTGTTTTAATTTCGAAGTACTTCTCATGAAGCGGAAAACGCACTATTTCACTTCCGGTCCGTACGTTTTGTTCAACTTCCGCTCGCTCAGCCGTACGAGGAGCTCATTGCGGTTAACTGTATTTTATTTTCACATTTTTTTTTATTTATCTAGCTTTACATCGTTGACCAGGCAGTCATGTCTAGTCACGAACCCGTCAACATGAAGCTCCCTCCGATCCAGTCCACGGCCGGAGCCGTGCCGGTCCGGAATGAAAAAGGTGAGATGTTTACTGTTAGCTTCGATAAGATAGCATCGGCTAATCTCAGTTTCACACAAAACTGGGCTCAAAAATACTAATTGTTACTTGTAGGTTAGCTATGGTTTAACAAAGACGTGCTGTAAGATTAGATCTCAATGAGAGTGAAATGAGTTAAAGAGAAAAGTTGAAAATGTGGAGGAAAAAAAACAGTGCAGAAGGTTGTGTTTACTAACTCCGGAAAACAGTTCGAGAAAGTTTGTAATCACTAATGCTTTAAAAAAATGCTGCATGTTTGGTGTTAAAACCTAAACAGGTCTAAGAAAGAGTCTATTGTGGATCATTGTTTACGTTTTGTAAAAAGAGGAAAAACGTTATTGTACTATATATATA